ATATATATACACACACAGTAATGTGTGTGTTTTATACAGAAAAGGGTCACAGTCTACAAATCCTGTGTAAAACCCTGAAACAATCCTCAATCTGCATCCCACAATTAGGTTAATGACAGCCATTGCTAACTGCTCCATATATGTTTTTAACTAGCTGCTTACCTATTCAAGTAAGCTATCTTTTGTAAAAATCTTCTTAATTAAAAAACACAAACAAAAAAAACTAATAGTTTTATTCTGCATGCTATTAAAACAGCTCAGGTCAAATTCATCAACGACCAGTATCTTTGGAGCTAATTCTGATTCGTACTAAATATTTTTCCTCAATTCACACTTAGTTTCTAAACCTTAAAAGGACATTTAAAAAACAACTTTTGACAGTGTTATTTTATTCTTCCACTGACAGAAAAAACTGAAGCTAAATGTTTAAGCTTAGCCATTGCCGACATGCCACGCATTTTTTTATTTAGATTTTTTTTCACTGTTTTATCACTCATTTTTTACCCCCTTCTTTACGAACATGTTTTGTCTACAAGGTCTGATTCACAGAACAGATAATCCATTTTAGCTCAGTCTACAGTTTGCACCTCAGTTCTCTGATCCTCGAGATGTAAATATAACTGAGACAGCCTTGTTTCGTTTTGACCTTGACTGATGAAGGGCTTAAACCCTCAGACAGTCAGACACATCTGCATTGCTGTGGTCTACCACACTGTCTCTCACATACTGAGCTTCCTCTTCTTGCTCCAGCAGAAAGTCTGTGTCTGAAAGATTACATCAGTGTTTGCTGAGGGGTTTTTTTAGTTGGCGCTGGATTTGGATTCAGTGGGCATCGGTAGGTGTTTTCCCAACCAGTTTGTAAATCTTCATGACATGTACGCCAATATTTGCATGGATGTTTCAGGAAGTGTTGAGTCTGGTACCCACTATGGTGCGGTATATTTACCCTGTGACAAATTAATATGAATGCTAACTCGTATATTTACTGTAGGTACTTGTGATTTGAAAATAGTTGTAGATTTTTTTCAACAATATTTACTGCCTCATTGTTAAGCAAAGAGTGTAAGGGGAAAAAAATAACGAAGGGCTTCTGCTTTATTCATATGTTATATAAATATTCTAAAGTTGACATGAGCTGCTTGTCAGCCCTTTAAATCTGTCCATATAAAAGATAATTGAAGCTTGTTTCTGAGAAGTGTTAAACTTAACTGTAAAGAGTGCAGAAAAATCTCGTTAAATCGAAACTGAGATTATCATCAGCGATAAAACATTGTAACTTTTTTTTAATCTTTCATTGTGTCTACAGATGTAACCCATTTTACTCAGTAGGCACTTTTCTTCACCACAGTCTGTCTGCATCGGGTTTCCTGTAATTTACGTTGTTTTTGGGAGGGCAGATGTGGGGAGCTTAGCTGTTGGGAAGAATGTTAGAGGTCATTCTTTCACTGGCATTTTTTTTTTTTTTTTTGGCTTTTTGATTTGTCTTTTGTGCCTTCAGCAAGAATAGAAAAAGTGACTGTGCAGGCTCGTAAAGGGCTTTTAGCTTCTCTGGGCTGAGCAAATGTCAGGGTGGCTGGTGTGGCTTTACCACGACTAAACTTAGTCAACTTTCGTTGCACCTCACCTGTGCCAGCTGCTCTGTGAAATATGTACACTTACACACACAAACATGCAGCTTTGCTCTGTAGTGCATGCATCATCAGTGACCACTAACTGCAATCACACAAGTACTTGAAGGCCTCTGAATGTTTAGGTGAAGCTGATGAAGTTCAGGAAATATTGGCATCCTAATTCCTTGACTTTTTGTTGCCCTTTGTTTTCCATCTTCCATAGGCCCTGTTTTTATGACGACAACATTTTAAATGAAACTGTAGCTTTTCTGTTGCGTTTCAGCCATCTGCGTATGACAACAGCTGTCGTTTTTTTCCTGACACCAAAACCTTTTGAATTCAGGTCTCAGAGGAGGTTTTTGGAAACACCCAGCATTGGTTTGAAATCGTGCATGCACACTACAGACGGCTGCAGTCAGTAGTCTTTCTGCGCTTGCATGAAAAGCAGAACAGTAACAATAGTGGATAGTAGCGTGTTGTTTGTTTTTACTCACTCTTTTCAACATGTAGGAGCAACCCAACTTCATCTTCTGTCCTAACAAATGTTTGTGTAATCACCATTTTTAATATTTGAAACTGCATTCATTCACCATGCTAGTGACGCAGTCCTGCAGCCGATTCAATAATCGCAGCCAGTGGTGGGCAGTGCTAATCCAAAAATTAGCTCTGCAATTTCTAAAGCGCTTGTTTAAATATTTAGGTCCACAAACTCAAAAGCGCTTATGCCATAGAAAAACTAGTGGAAGCTAATTTTAAAGCGCAAGTTCAATTTGACACTTACTAGCTGGCAATAATTCATGTACAATATATGTACAACACTGCCAACTAGCGGTGTATGAACTCTATTACAGCTTATTCCTATAAACGCCGATTGCTGGGGATGTGAGTTCCTGAAACAGACCTTTAGCTCCTGTTGTAAAAAAGAAAAAGTTGTTGAGGATTGCTAGTTCGGCTGCTTCTTTGCCTTTTTTTCTTTTGTTTGTTGTAGATTTTTYATTAAAGAAGCATCAATAAAGTAATATTATTTATTTTATTTTATTGTTTATTGGATAACTGAAGCGATGCATTCTGGGTACATGACGGATTTGATTTGTGACTGGAAACGAAAGCACGGACTACAGGAAACTATCTTCCCTTCAAAATAAGAGTTTGGATTTTATGGTTTTCCATGTAGTTAATCCAGCTCCATCAGCATAACATCTTTAAATCATTTATGCATCTCTAACCCCGTTGCTTTGACCAATTACGTCAAGTATTGAGCTCCAACGTTTAAACTTTTTTTTTTTTTTTTTAAAAAGGAGCTCCGATTGTAAAGTAAAATAAATCAATACTTACAAAATTTTAGTATGGATTACAAATGTTAACTGTTTTAGCTGGAACAGGGAGTTCTAAACACTGTCTTCCTGCTACGTAAGGAGACACAAAGCATTGTGGGAAATGAGAACTGCGACCCAAAGCAACAGTCAGCAAGGATGTATACCTTTCCAATAAGTCTGTTTATCTGGGAGGGGTGCTGTTGGATAGATCACATGTTGTGATTTACTGACAGCCATACCTTCTGCTGTTCAAGATAATGATGACTGGTAGATAATTAGTTACTAGCAGTACTACATTTTAATTTTAGAAAGTGCAAATCCGCTTATGATTTATGAAACTTAATAAGACCGCTAAAGCGCAAATGAAATATTTAGGTCCGCAATTAGCGGATTTGCACTTTAGCGGGCTGGTGCCCACCACTGATCACAGCACTACCTACTTGTTCACGTGCAAACAGCATCTTGGTGAACATTTATTTTTTATTTATTTATCGTCACTTTATTTAAATTTAAAAATCTAGTTTTACTCCAGTATTTTTCTTTTGCCTTTGCAATGATTTAAAATAAAAAGACGTTTTTTTTTTTCTGCGTTTACCATCACGGCTCGTCTGTACCCTCGCAAAAAGAGTGCTCTAAAATAACACTTTATTATATGGTTCTTGAGTCTTTTAGCCAACAGGAAATCATTCCATTTGTTCTAAGGCCTCTTTTCTTGCCATCCTCCTTCCTAAAGTGGTTTTCAAGATTGCTCTGCTGCAGTCTTACCCTTTTTTTGACATGCTTGGAGCCCCAGTGCCTGCCAATAAAATAAATAGCAGCGGACTTGATTATACGGGGATACACTGGGCAAAAACACTGCATCCATTTAGTTTGGAGAGCCCAAATAGATAGATGGGCCCTTTTTAACCCACTGAGTTGAAGAATCAAAGCATTTGAGAGCTGGCATGAGGGGGTGGCTCTGTGTGGCTGCCTCAGAGGGCCTCACGTCCATCATATATCAATCCAGACCTCTCGGTTTGCTGCTTTTGTCTGGCCTACAGCAGACTTGATATTCCACTCCCAGCATAGGACAGTAGCCTCTTTTAAAGAAATCTTCTGCTGGCTCAGCGTCTCCTTGAAAGAAAATGAGGGCTGGTGTCCTGCTGAAGGGAAAGATTATGTTTTTACGAGGCCCACCCAGGCATTTCACCACTGACACCACAGTGTGGGCTGGAAAAGGCCAAAACGAGAAGGCTCACCTTTGTCCAGATCTGATTTTGTCTTAAGAAATGGAAGCTCAGAATGGCAGAAGTCCTAAACAGGATAAAGGTCAGTATTTGTGAAACAGTCTTTCACTCCCTTCCCTAAAGTTGACCTTATTTTGTGTTAAAAGTGGGTCAGCTGCAAAATAAAAGCTGCAACACACAGAAGATGAAGACCATGATAAATTATTGATGGGTTGTTATGGACTTTATCAGGATCACAGTAGTGTTATTGGTAGTAAAAATGTGAAATTAAAAAATATAGTCACTAAACAACATTAATTTCATGTATTTGATCTGGATTTAGATTCATTATTCAGTGTTAATTACGTATGTCGCAATAGTTTGATGAATCTGAGATGTTTTGTGTTCTTTTACTGGAAACTTCTAGAGTCAAATCAAATTTAAAAAAAATTCAGAAATGGTCACATTTACACGGTATCCATTAATCTGTGAAGTGCAAAAAAGAGGCCATTAACTCCATTACTGTCCTTTGCAGATGTTTTTATTTTGTCAACTATACCAGTGGACACAATAAAATAAACAATAAAGGTAAATAAAGATGACCTTAATCAGAAAAAGGGATTGACTAATTTCTGTAACCAGTAGTTGTAGATAGTTTTTGCTTCTCTTGTTTTTTTTTTTTTTTTCCATCTTGAGCAACTTCTTGGAGCTACTACCTTTTAACTACAAATACTGTAGAGTTTCTTGTGAGTTGTTTGTTGTTTCTTCTGCTAACATGTAGGCCCTGGTGGGTTACTAAAGTTTGCAGTGATAAGCAAAGAAATCATGTTCACATAAAATCATAATATAAAAATAGCTCCAGAAAAACTACACTCCACATTTACCAGAACATCATTTGTGTTTTGAAAAGAAAGACTTTTGCAATGTTATGCTGGTGGAAGAAATAGAAACTGGAAGTTTCCACAAATGTTGGTGCTTTCTTTTAGTTCCACCTCAAAGTCTGAAGAAGTGTCACCTCCAGTGGTGAGGAGATGGAACTGTGTTTGTGGTGATTATTCTTAATATTCAGACAGGAAGTATAAATGACATGGAAAGCACACAGACTCAGCTGGAGTCAAGATTTAAAAATAGTTTTTGAACCACTTGCTGCATTTGTAGGAAATGTATCAGAAATGAATAGTGAAGACTCAACTTGTCTGTTTAGGTTAATTTCAGCAGCAGCTCTGCTTGTTCTTCTGTCCTTCAGTGAATGTTTGTGAACCTTTTTTTTAAAGTGCATTTTGTCCTCTCTTTCTTTGGTGATTTATCAAGCATCTGGCCATCAGTCCTAGCTGTTGATAGGTCTTGATCAGATTTTCTCCAGGCTCTCTTGGTTAGAGGTTTGAGTGTTCATAAGATAAAATGTGTTGGGAATTGTTATAACACAACACATCCCTCTTTCTTTGTGTAAATCTGTTACATCTACCAGATTCAGGAAACAAAAACAGTAATCATGCTAATGCAATTACAGTTGTTTTGGTCAAATTTTAAACATGTTATGGATCATTGTGACCAAAAACTACCTCTTCATGTCTCCTTCTGTCTGTTTTTCTTCATTTTCTCCATCCTCCATTGCCCACCTTTTCCACTCCAGTCACCCAACACAGTTAAAGGACCAGGGTTGTCCTGGGGGGCCCCAGCAAGCTCTGTCCCCAGCTCAGCTACCTGAAGAGGCGGAGTGTCTGACAGTGCCCAAATACAAGAGAGATCTGGTGCAGAAGCTGAAGGTCCTGCGACAGGAACTTTCACAGCAACAACCCCAAGCAGGTCACTGTCGCATCGAAGTTAGCCGGGAGGAGATCTTTGAGGTAAAAACTGTCAAAATACTCACACACTTACCTATGATAGTGATTAAAATGACAGATTTCCTATAGTCTATAAACCTTAAAAAAGAAAAACCTACTATATAT